CTTGATTTTGTACTGAATATTAGGGTTTATCTGTTGATAAGACCACCGCGTGATTTTCCCCCTGATTCATCATAATCAATAACTGTTGTGGGGTAAAATATCTTATCTGAAGCCGCCACGTGCTCTTGCAAATGGCAAGTCAAATTCAATTTGACAGTCTCTTTTTGGGGAAAAATAAATGCAATTAAAATTGACATGCAACATGCACACCAGTTTATCCACGCTTTTCGCAACTCATTTTTGCCTGAGACCTTGGAAAAGCCATTTTCCACCAGAGACAATAAATATTGAGAGAAGGAAAACGAACAGCGGCAGCGTTGCGTTTATTTTTTATGGTTTTGCTGTGAAAGTTATTTAGAGACACTCATCCTACAGAGATATGTGTGTATATTTTTTATCACCGGCACTTTTGCATGTGCACTTGGGTTCCGCCCTGAAAATGGTTTACCTATCCTAAAGGTATTTTCTATTTTTATGCCCACATTTCTTACGGCTTTGTATTTTTTTCAATTACTTTAATGGCTTTTCGCTAACTGCGATTATCTACTACAAAAAGTTGGTAGTAATGATAATTATTAAACCATGACGAACGAGGGGAGTAAATTTGTAAGAGGTTTTTGGCAATTAATGTAACACTTACATGCTCCACTGTGCGAGTAATTTGTTGTTCACATTTTTGTTCAATTTATTTTTCGCATGCCACACCATATTATTATTACATTTTTTTATTCGCACTACCATAAAATGTTGGCTTGAGAGCTTAACTGTGAATTAGAAATACCTCTTCTGCCAACGATTAACGTCAAGTTGCAATGTTTGATGGAGCATGCAATCTGATAATTCTCTTGATTATAATGTGAGGAAAATGCAGAGAATTATCTAGACAGAATTGGAAATTGAGAAGCACTTAAAGAGATAAGGCAGAGAGAAATATAATTATTATGTGGAGAATGTGTGACAGTTATTCTGCACAAGAGTTGGGAGTTGTGGAAATAATTCTCAAGAGATTAGACAGGGGGAAAAAATATAAATAAATAAATGCTTAGATTAAGAATACTTATACAGCAATTTGTAGCCATAAGTTGTATAATTCTGATGTGGAACACTGAAACAAGGTCGCAGTTAACCAAGTTACCTCCTTTCCTCCTCCGGCACACATCCTTGTCTTTGTAATCAAAAAGCATGTAATTCCAGCAATTGTCGGTTTGACATTTGCAATCCATAAACTAGATTGTCAGGGAAATGAAAGTGCCAATAACTTGGCATTAGAATCGGCTTGTCTTTCTACCCATTCAATTACAATCAATCAGATTTCCCTCTTCTGCCAAATGCTCATATCATTAGCTAGCCGGGTTTATTGCCATTTCAGAGAGAGAGGGAGAAAGATTGGGAAAAGAGATCGTTGCGGTAACGGTTTTGATGTCGGATCGGATCCAATCCGATCGGATCGAAGCGGTCTCCATATGTGTGATTATCGAGTTGGGTTACGATGAGATATGCGTATAAATCATGTCAGCAGCAACTTCAGAGAAAACAAGTCGTTTGTTTGGCTTTGATCATAATTATCAGAGATGTCATAACTTTCAAATCGGAAATACCCTGCTAGAGGGTATCATAATTATTTGCTTTTAACATCATTGATTGAATTAATAATATCTTTTTTTAATGCTTTTTGGTATAATGAGTAGACCTAAAAAATGAGTTTTAATGGTAAATCATCAATAATTGTATATACTGTGCACCCAACAGCATCTTTTGTTTAAGCATTGTGTTATATTTGTTATTTAGAGAACGATTTATATAGGCTATTTTCCTTTTCTTTAAAATCTAAATAGTTGGATAATCATATAGCTTAGTTTCTGAACAAAATCAGAAGAAATTTTGCACATAACATAGCTTTTAGTGGCATACTTTCAACTCTGGTTTAATTTTCTCATAAGTTATTTGTTCATTGTATAAGCTTATAGAGTATTTTATACTTCAAAAATTGTAAGATACCTCCCCATCTCTTCTTTTTTTGATTTCCCTTCAAAACCTACTTAGTTTTAGCTTATTTTTTCAAGAGCTCTTTGCATCAAGGCCGCTCGAAAAGATTTGATCAAGTTTTTCCCTCAACAAACTTTTACAAAAATCTTGCTAAAAAACAACTACAAATTAACAAAAGTGCTCCGCTGTTTTTCGTTTAAAGTTTACCGTGTAAATTACACTGAAGTTGTGCCTCCATGTCATGTTTTTAGTTTTATTATAAACCCCAGTTTAGGTGTTGGCTTCCTCCTTCTGCCATTTCTTGGCTTTTTATGGCCTCTCATAAGACCAAAGAGAAGTAAACAACTTTTTCATGACCTTTTACGGTGCAAAAGTTGGAGAAGCAGAAGCAGCTGAAATCCAAACTAAAACTAAAACTCGGCCTCGGATGAGGATGATGATGATGAGCAAAAGAGCTTGACTCCACGCTGAGGCCAAGTAATGTCAGAAATTGGTTTCTAACCAGAAGAGTTCTGTCTGCTGCGATGTTGTTTTGCCTTATTTGGAGCCCCGGATAGGTGGGATGTCTGGTCCACCAAACTACTGCCAATATAGACCAATAAAATGCTGACTGGCAGTGGGAAAATGCTGTTGCCAACAACGTGCCTTTCCGTCTTGTGTTTTCCTGAAGAGATTAAGTGCCGAGCAAAGTGAGTTAGGGTGGCCGGGGATTGTGGGGTTTGAGTGTGTTGAGAGGTTGTTGAAAAGAACTCTTTGGGGTTTTTAATATGATGTGAGAAAATAAGCAATGTAGGAATAGGGAAAGTATTAAATATAAATGAAGGAAGAAGTCTTTCAGTTTTACTAGAATGTGAATTAGAGTCTATAGAAACTTTACACAAGAAAAGAAACTCACTTCGGTAAGCAGAAGTCTGTATACCATTTCTTTAAGCCATGAGGTAATGAATTCCAATGTGAAATGTCTTATAACTAGGCCAAAAATGCAATAATCTAATCTTGAAATTGTTTTTTGCGTTGACTCTTATAAGAATAAATTTATGATTAAATTAAAGTTTTTAAAATATCATAATTCAGTGAAAAATGCATTAATTTCAAATCGGAAAGCTTTCCTGTGCTAGTTTTCATAAACCAAACCAATCTGCATAATGAGTTTTGAAATTTAAAAAATTGAAATTTTTTGTTAAATTTTTGACAAATTTTAACGATGAAAAAAAGTTGAAAAAATTTCGAAATTCTTGTTTTCTACCGAACATAGCCAGATCGATTCGGCTTTTAATGCTGATCAAGAATATATATGATTTATAGGGTCGGAAATGACCCCTTCACTGCGTTTTACGCTTCTGACTTAAATTATAATGCCATTTTTCGAGTCGATATTTTTCAATGATTTTATATGACAATTTTTTTGATAAATCAAAGTTTAAGAAACACATAACTCTGCCGAAAAGGCATTAATTTAAATACGGAAAGCTGTCCTGTGTTAGTTTTTTTTTCCTTAACAAATCTGCATACTCAGTTAAGAATTTTAAAAAAATTTAAATTTTGGTGAAATTTTGACAATTTTAACGATGTAACCCCTTATAAAATTTTGAAAAAATTTTCAATTTTTTTTTTCTACCGGACAAAGCTAGATTGACTCGGCTTTTAATGCTGATCACGAATATATATGACTTATAGGGTCGGAAATTACTCCTTCACTGTGTTTTAAGCTTCTGACTGAAATCAGAATACTCCAAAATACCCTATAATTTATGGTCAAAATTGCTTTAAACTTTCTTTCATATTACCAAATTATTTATCTAGTGATTTGCCCTTGACTTTCACTTCCGATCCCATGCATTTTGTCTCTAAATTATTATTCAATTATGTTCTATTATAACATTATCTGGTATCTCCCACATATTCCATGACCTGCCCCAAGTAACTCGCTTAATGTGGCATCATCATTTTTTAGTTAAATTTCTTCATTTTCATGCTCAGGCACTCTGACAAAACGAATTTCTCACGCACTATAAACGAGTGAAATTGTTGAACAAAACAACAATAAATTAGACAATTACAATGCGTTAAGGCGTCACAGAAACCATGGAATTTGTATGAGTTTTACCTTTGTACAAAATCGTATTTATTAATGCGACACTTTGATCGCCATCCAATGCTAATAATATTGTTTTCGTTGACTAATGACTGACTGAAGACGATGACTCCCGGCTACCTGGCTACTGGAAACACGCTCCATGTTTATCAATCGGCGAACTTTCTCCCCAGTTTTCAGTTTCGGTTTCGGTTTCAGTCGATTGGGCCTGCAGCTCCAAGCTCTTCTCTTTTTTATTGTTTTTATGTTTATCCCCCTTTGGATAGCTGTGCAGCTCCAAATGAAACTAATTGCTTCCGTTTGCAACATTTCACCTTCAATTTTCCCGGCTAGAGAGACCCTAAAGGCAAACACCAAAACCTCCCAACAAAAGACCATACTAATTTCGTATGCCTTCGAGGGCCACCTTAAAAATGTGGCAATTCTATTTGGTTTCGTTTTGGCCAGCAGATCTTGGCTGTTTTTTTGGTTCATTGAACCACAAGGTGCACTGGAAAAAATTGTATATAAATTGATGAGATTTCTTGTTATAAACAAAGATAAATAAAGTGGAAAATAAGGTGAATAATAAAGAAATAAAATATAATAGCTTATGTTTTGAAAAATAATAAATACTGAATAGTTCTTAAAATATAAGAAATTTGCATATTTTTGTATAAGCATCTCCAGACACATAGATTTAGACATGGGTCTGTATAGTCTTAGAGACCTTAAGTCTTATATGTGTTACGTTAATTGGAATTGTTTTACGATTTCTTACATTACTTAATTATTTATTTTTAAAATATTTAAGTAAATTAAGCAACAAATACCGATAACTATTAATTTCCTGTGTAACATTTAAGTTTCCATTTCTTTAAACTGCAACTTCGCTCTCTTAATATTTGTTTGCGTTTGTTTCTTGGATTGTTTTTTGCAGAAATTTGCATTTTCATCTTGCGCAAAAGCCAAAACAACACAAAAACACACACACACAGGAAAAGCACAAGAGAAAAATGCTGACACGGATGAGGCCAGCGGTGGGTTGATTGGCTGACAACCACGACATCCACATCCACATCCACATCCATAGAAACTACAAAAAGACACGGTCGAGTGCCAGCGAGTGGTAGGAAGGTGGAGAAGGTAGCAGGAGCAGGCAGAGTGCCAAGCATCACCTGGCTCAGAAAAAAACTAAAAAATAACTCGAAAAAAAAAGCAACAAACAAACAAACAACCGGCCAGCCACAATGACAAATGTTTGGAGCGGAGCCAGGCTTTAGGTGTTGAGCAGCGGGTTTAATCAAACAACAAAAGGAAAAGCCGTGGAAAGAGGAGGAGCACCTGGTGGAAGAAGGAAGGAAGGACAGCGAGGAATTACCCAAGTTGAGCGAGAGAAAGGTAAGTCCAATTTAACTATCATAGGGCAATAAATCCCAGAGTGAAGCTGGTTTTATTTAATGATATTATTTAACTCTGAAAGTTAAGCCATAAAGCTATCAATTTCTATATATCTTTTATTTATTTCTTAATTTTTTATTAAATAAATCTTTTATTGACTTAATAAACTTGTAAAATGAAGTTTTAAGATGTCTTAAAGGCATTTATTTGAGTAGTTTCTTTGCTGTATTATTAAACAGAGGAGATTTATTTTATTTAAAATACAAATGTTTTGGTTTTGTTTAGTTTTTAGTTTGGACTCCAGTTTTTGTCCTAAAACTACCATTTATTCATGGTTATCTTTCAGCTGATGTAGCTTTTTATATTTTCTGCCTAGTCATATGTTTAGTTAATGGGAACATTTGTAGTGTAAGCGGTGTTAAAACCCTCTCCCAAAGCGGTCACAAATATATATATTTTTTTTTCGTCCCAGCTAGGCCATAAAACACACACTCTCTCACACACACAGGCGGTGAATCCTTAAGCAAAGTTTGCAGTTCCCTGGGCTCCTTAATTATGCGCACATGAGAAGCATTTTGGGGGTGAAGCGAGGACGATGTGGCGCCAGGTTGTGGTCTAGTTTATTTTGCACAAAACGAGGGCAGTGAATATAGTTTTGAATGAAATGAAAATATATAATCCTTTGGGTTATAAAATAGTAGTGCCAAGGCAAGGCCTTGAGAGAGAGAGTCCTTGCCAATGACACACGAAGTTTTATGCTATCTGCAGAAGTAATAATTCGAAGGATTATACTACTAACTTCAGAGTAGGAGCTATTACTTAAAACTGCTTTTAAATACCAGCAGCTTCTTACTATTTAATATTATCAACCCCTTAATAAATCTGCTTCAAAAAGTTTCCATTTTAAAATACATATTTCCTAAGAGCAGGCAACTTAGTATTCATTTTCCTACCTGTCTTTTAAATATGCAAATTTCGCCAGCATCCTTGAATGTTTAAAAATATCCAGTTTGGTAAACCGCCAACCTGGCGACACTCATTCCGGGCCACTGAATCAACTTCCACAGTCATTTGTCAGGCTTATAAAAGTCAATCGGCTCGATTATGCAAATGAATACCCGATCGATGTGTGTGGGGCTAGACACTTGGCTTGCGATATACGAGGATGTATCTCAATTGGTGGCATCTGGAATCTGGTTCAGGAGGAGGAGGAATCTCTATAGAGATGAATCTAAAGTGGGGGGACTCCAAAGTGGGGAGTCCAAAGTGAGGAGTGGAGTTTGTAGTCTGAAGTCTGGCGGAGAGCTCTCAAGTGATGCAGTTATTCAATTTAGACGGCAAAGTCCTTTGAAGACACGTTTGTTTATAAAAGAATTGCAACTAAGCTAGGGATAATAAATCAAGAGAAATATCGAAAAGAATATTCTATTACGAAATATCGAATATCACTTTTGATTTCGCTTCACTTTTGTATTTCGCCACCTTTAAATTATTGTATATCTTTATATACAATAATTTAAAGGTGGCGAAATACATATATACAGGGTGCTACAGATAATACTATAGTATTGAAGCTAGAAATTTATATATCGTTAAAGAAACCACTGAATTTGGTGCCTAATAAGTGTATTCCATTATCAATGTTTCATTAATGGATTCAGCTCTTAATTGTGAGATCCTATTGAGTTTTGATCCCAAGTGCCATCTCAAAGAATCCCTGCTTGATGATATTTCTATTCATATCTATAAGTTCTTGCCACCTATCGATTCAATATTGATATATCGCACACATTCCTATTGACCATCCCTAAACCTGTAACCAATCCAGTTTGGATTTAGAATTTCAGGTCTCCCCACGAATTGAAAGAGAGCAAAAAAAATAAATAAAAAAGAAACCCACTCTTGGGGGCCAGCGCGTGCAGACTTGCCAACTTGTTTTCCCACCGTTTAATTGGCATAATTTGTCTAACAAGACCAACGAACCACAGACACAACACACAACACACAACACACTACACACTACACACAACATATAACACACAACACACCAGTACACTCATCACACACAACATTGAGAACAGCGACAACTTGTTTCGTATGCAGCACTGCGATGTGGTGTAACCGTATCAAAGCATCTTGAATTGTTGTGTTCTTGTTTAATAAGTGAATGTTGTTGGCTGTATTTCTTCGTTAGTTGTTGTTAACCAGGCCTACGCGGAAAGGTGTCCGTGGGTCTAGAGTCTGCAACTCACAATCATGGACAATTGTCACGACCGGCGTGTTGCAAGGTTGTTTGGGCTCGTTTGGAATCGAAATGAAAAGAAATACAAGTTGTTAAGTCTCCGACTGAGAATAATACTAAGAAGTATTGTTACTTACAGGGTTTTGTTTAAAGCTTAGGAAATTTGATTAAACAAGAAAGGAAGCTAACATCGTCACGTCGAAATTTATATACCCTTGCAGATAAAACTTCCATTACTAGGAATTAATAGAATATAAATGATATATATTTTAAATATCGTTTGTGTGGCAGCTATATGATATACATAGTAGTCCTATTTTTTTTTTTTAAACAAAATTCTAATAATGGGTATATATCAAATTTGATAAAAAACTGTTGAAAACTGAAAAAGTTAGTCCGATTGTTCCTATGGCAGCTCTATATATATATAAATATATATATTCCACCGATTCGCCATGCTGCGACTTATGTTCTAGTAAAATTATAAAGAAGAAAAACTCTATAGGTTCATTCAAATAGCTTAAATTTGTTCCAAAACAATTCTCTCACATCTGTGCATATGATTCCCAACTGGTTCTGACATCCCCGGAACGAAGTGACTGCTGCCAGCGAAGTCTCGGATATGTGTCGTGTTAAAAAAGTTGCAAGTCATTGTTTATTAGTGTTCAAAGTTAGTAACTGGTCATACATACTTACTGGTCATAGATACTTACTGGTCATAGATACTTACTGTTCAGAGTTACTCCCCATAGTTACTCACTGCTCATAGTTAATTACTAATCATAGTTAATTAATGTTCATTGATACTTACTGATCATAGATACTTACTGATCATAGTTGCTTAATGTTCATAATAACTTACTGTTGAAAGATACTTACTGATCCTCTAATTATAAAACTCTGAAATTATAATACTCTGCAAGGGTATAAAAATAAGATTGAATCAAGTTAAATGTTGTGATTTTATCTGTCATCTTGTTAGAGGCTTCTGTGAAGATGTCTTTCAATTATCTTTACATTATTAACGTTTTAGTTTAAATAATTTGAGAGCTTAACTAGAAAATATGGTACAAGTTTACTATCTCTAATCTTGAAGTAAGGTTCCTTTCAAGTTTTATCTGACCTTTAAGGAAGTTGGTCTTCACTTAACCCCAAAACTCTTTGTTCTCCTGCAACAGCCATGTTTCCCAAGATCATCATCATTAAAATTATCATGGCAATAGCTGTTCCTATTCCTATATCCATATCGTATTAAGAAATCATTTTTCTGGCGCCAAGTTTTTATATGTATTTCATGGGAAGACCTCTCAGCGGGGAAGCCCACTCAACTTAATGTATACTCCTATATATATATGTATGTATATATAATGCCATGGAATAGTACTCTCTGTGGATCCGGACGCGTAGGTAGGTGGCTCCACTAATTGCTACCAATCTTTTGTGCCCGGAACAACGCTCCTTCCCCCTCGAGGTTGCCATTGGTACACTTACAATGGGGGCCATCATTTCATTGTTGACATTGTTTTCTTGTTCACGCTCAAGAGACTGAATGTTGACGCAATTATAACACATGGCGGCGGCTCCGGTGGCTACCTGCTGCTCCTCCAACCATCTCCATCCCCATTCCCATTCCCATTCTCACCTGGATCGTGTGTCGTCGCTGCACGTGTTTGAGCTAACGAGCACAATTTAACATTTTGCCGGTTGCAATTAACATTTATGCAGAAATTAGAGACTCACAGCAGCACTAGATCCGGATTTTTTTATCTGACGGGGAGGTTAAACTAGTTTTTTGTGTCATTTGCCAGTCGCAAATTATGATCGTTATCGTTGTGATCATCGGTGCCATTTAGCGATGATTATAGTTTTTAATGGTGTGTCTTAATCCGTATTTATGCTAATGATAATAATACCCTGGACAGTTGAATTGCGAACAGCTCGGGTGGGTGTTTATAATGCAAATTGCACAGAAACTAATATGCAAAATGGTTCTTTACAAATTGGGTTTATAGAACAATTTGAATGTAAAGTAAATGTAAGGCCATGAATACTAATGTAAGGCAAGGAATATATATATAAAGGAAATGTTTTCAAAGAGCTTGAGGGCTAATTAAAATTCTACCTCACAGAATTTATTTATTCATAACATTCCTTATTACATACCCTTATTAAATCTCTCTATAAAAATATATATACATATATATAAATAAACTCTGCTCTCGGAAAACTGCTGCATCCTTGAAACCACTTCCATGTGAGGTCCTGCAGTGAACTATATGATTAAATTCCGATGCCAAAAAGCCAAGGACAAGGACCCATGGGGTTGTTGTTATATGTATATATAGCCTTCCGCCCCATTCAATCGCCCCGCCTCCTTGAAATCTGCTTGGATTGTGCACTTGAGAGCAGCTTTTCTGACCATGTCCATGTCCATATTCATGTCCTTGCCACCATTCTCTGGCCATTCCCTCCCTGTGTGGCATTAATTTATAATGACGGGGTTGGGAGCTCTCGATAGAGAGAGGGAGCTGGTAGCTGTCACCGAAACGTGTCATTAAATCAATATCAGCTCGGCAGACAAAGCTCTTTAAACATTTACCACTTGTAATATATGCATAATGCCAAAGTGCAACGAAAATTTCCCTTGGGTAGTGCAGATGCGGCGGATACGTGATATTTTATAGATTACTCATCCGCCATGATGGCCAACATTAGTTTTGATGTGTTATTTTTTATGTGTGGAATGCAATGATACTTAAGCTCATGAAGTTTGAGTTGAGTTTAAGGGTAGTCCTTGTTTTATTTTGTAAAAATAGTATCTAATACTTAAGGGTTTTAATAAAGGTATTCTTTATTTGATTAGATACTTAAAAGTTCTATCTGAAATAGTAATATCAATCATACTTTAAACTTTCCCTATAAATCTTTCTCTTATGCAACCCCAAGAAGCATTTACTAGTTAAAAACTCAGCATTATTTGAGAACTATTTACATAGAGTACTTGGTATTTCTTTTGTTTAAAACTCTCCACTCTTGCATTCCTACTTGTTTTGAATTTTAGAACAACGAGATCACTGGCTAAATTTATCTCATCTTAACGTTTATCTCCTCTGTATATCTCCCTTCACGGTCACATGCATTGTGCATTTTGATTAGATTAGATAAGTTCACCATTCTACACATCCATTGCCATTGTCTCGTGCTTGGGATCTGACTTTTGTTCCGCATCTATTTACACCGAGAGACCTCTAGTATTATAATAATGCCGCCGTCTGTACAGATCCGACCTTTGTCTCGGTTTCGGTCGCGCCTTCTTTGCCCCATCTCCCTAATTGTGTGGCCATGGGTGTGAGTTCACTTATCTGCACATTTGTTTACCTCTTGGCGTAGTATAGTTATATATTTATTCTTCTTGGCCAAAGCAACGCTAGTTGGGCGGCGTATTCCTATTGACATTGCGATAAGTTTAGTTCTCGGATAGATAGCGCCTTTAGTCTATGGCACAAACTGCGCTTTTTCTAAGACATTCCATATAGATAGAATCTGTGAGGATTATAAAGAGGCCACTTTCGGCTGACTGTGTGCTATTTTTGTCTGGTGTGGATTTCTAATCCCGTAAGCTCATAAGAGATTTCAGAATCCCATGATGATATATTAGAGTAGTAAATTCTATAATTATGGGAATATATTCTTAGGCATACAAATTGTATATTATAAAACAATCTATAAAGATAATATAAATATGCTTTTCTTAATTAAACTGCTGTACAAATAAAAGTTTTGATGGGTTACTTAATTGAAGAAGTTGAAAATAGGGAATACTCCTTTTCATACCTTTGCAGGGTATTAAAATTTTACTTAGAAGCTTGTTACGCTGTGAAGGAGTCATTTCCGACCCTATAAACCATATACATTCTTGATCAGCATCAACAGCCGAGTCGATCTAGCTATATCACGCGAAAAACTATTTTTTTTTTTTTTCAAAATTTTAAAATTTTTATAAGGGGTTATATCGTTAAAATTCTGAAAAGTTGTCAAAAATTTTACACTTTTTATATTTTGAATTGTGTATGTAGATTTATGAGTCTAAAAAATACTAACATAGGAACGCTTTCCGAATTAAATTTTGATTTGACGAATAAAATTGTCATATAATATGGTTAAAAAATATTAATTCAAAGAATGCAAATACATTAAGCTCAGTTATGATAGATTTCCGATTAGATCCTATAATTTATTTGCAAACTGCAAGGGTATATGAATTTCGGCTTCTTGAAGTTAGTATTTTTTTCTAGAAGAAGTTTTATAAAATATATTTGTTCCAAACTACCGAATCTATTTCCGCAATTGTATATAAATATTTTATACAATAAAATTCTCTTTACTAAAAGAATAATCGAATTGAACAATTTGAATGCCAAATAAATTTGTATATTGTGTATTTTTATAAAAAGTGATATGCACACAATAATAAATTTTGTTTCAAGAGAGATTGTAGGGCAACCTGGGGAACCAACCTAGCCCAATACCGTAAATCAATAGCCGATAACGGTAACCATTACCCTATCAGTTCACACTCACACACACTACAGCAAATGGCTTTCAATGTCGCACCGACATACCGCACTCTCGGCTCTCTCCGTGTCTCTCAGGGCCTCTCATTTTTCAATTTCTGCGAAGAAAGCCCCACACACAGTCTTCCAGCTGGCAATGCCGACCTCTCTTATCCCCCCCCAAAAAAAAAATACGGAATCGCTGTTAAATTTTGTTCACTTTTGCAAAGACTTTCACACTTTGAACAACATAAACATATAGCTTATAGCATATAGCTGGAGAAGGGCTCCCAAATCAATGGAGACTTAATTGTGTTTGATGTGCAAAAAAAAAAAAGAAAACAAACAACGCACAACAAAGGAAAAATCATAAAAATTCAACGAAAAAGTAAAGGTGAAAATTGTTGCGAAAGTCAAAGTTAAATCGATGAGTGAGAAAATGGCAAAGGTAACAAATAAACATTGCAAAAAGAAACATAAATGTAAAACTTTTCCCATCGATTTTTATCAGTTTTTTGTGTGTCATTAGGGTGCGGTTAGAGGTTTGTCGTTATAGATAACAGATATAGATATTAGATATCACTTCCGATACTTAAAATCAAGTAAAAGACATAGTTTGACAAAGGAAATTATCATAAAATTAGTAATTAACTGAAATTTAAAGAGATTTCCAGTAATTTTTTGTTTAAAAAATACATTATTTATATAAAATAGTGTTATATCTTCTCGGATAATTATACACATTACTTATTAATTTGTTTTTCCTTTTTCCCTTACAGTTCCATCATGGAGAAACCAATGCATCATGCCCCTGCCCCGGCTGCCGTGGGTAAGGTCAGCCAGATAGCCAACATTTTCCAGCGGAAACCCATCGAGATTCAGCCGGTGGAACAGCTGAGTGCAGTTGCTGCTGCCCATGCCGCTGCAGCTGCTGCAGCCGCTGCCCATGTCCAAGGAGCCAGGACAGAGTCACATTCGGCGAGATTCAATAACGCTCGAGCCTTGTTCGAGAAACTGGGTGTTGAGTCCAATTCGAATGTGAGTTCCCGCCTTTTGAGGAGTGGTTCTCGCGAGGATAATCTTTGCGACGGCTCAGATCGTTCATCCTCACGCTCCTCGGATCGTTCTCAATCTCCGCCAAAGCGAAGGACACCGTTTCCCTCGGGTGTGTCGCTGGTTCACAATAATAATAATGCCAGCGTTGTGCCTCAAAATGGAGGATCTGCACCCGAACAGCGTTTGAGTAATAGCAAATTTATTGTGGAACCAGCGGCGCCAATATCTCAAGTAGTGCCCACCTCGGCTGTCAAGTATCCGCAGCATAATTTATCCCGCTTGAAGTCGGAGGAAGTGACGGTCAGTCCTCCAGTGCCAGCCAGTGGTTCGGTGAGCGCTTTATTTGCCAACTCTGGTGCGGATAAACCAGAGAAACCTGAGCGCAAATTCAACTCGAGGGAACTGATTGAGAAGCAAAAGAAGTGGACATCGCACTTCACGAAGACAAAGACCACTCGGACTCACAGCGATCTCAATCGTTGTGACATTATACGCACTGTGCCCGGCACAGGACTGATTATGGATAGCGAAAAGGTGACCAAACCGGCAATGGAACCACCACAGTCCCAGGCTCCACCCAATGCCAGTCCTAATCCACCGCTGCGATCGCAGGCTCCGCCAGAGATTAAGCCCAGGAGTGGAAAGATTGGTAGTCCGGTGAAGTCACCGCCATTGCCGCCGATACCAGCGGCCAAGCCAAAGAATGTGAGTCCGGTGAAGTTTAATCCGGAGCGACTACGTCAGTCACCCACAAAAACGGCAAATGATTCACCGCCGCCGCCGCCAGCCAAATCTGCGGCAGTTACAGCCGCCATGCAACGATCCTTGATGCAGGAGCAGCAGGAGCAGTTAATGCGAAATGCCAATGATCAGGGTGTGGCACCAATACCACCGGAAAAGCCACGTAAAAAGTCTGTAGATCTCATCGAGGATACGCAACCCTTGGCTAACAATTGTTCCACACCGCCCTCATCCTGCGCCTCACCCACCAGCTCGTACATTGTGCAGCCTGCCAAGAGGGGATCCATGGATGGTGGACAGTCCTCGTATCCTGGTAATGGACTCAGTGGTAGCACCAATTCGGCTGCCTCGGGATCACCTGTGGCCAGTGCCTCATCGGGTCCCTCATCGCCAGTCCACACCGAGGATGAGAAGCAGGAGAATGAGTCCACGGAGAAGTCGGAAATGGAGCATTATCATAGTAGCAGCTACAATAGTGTTCCCAGGCGGCGACGCAGCGAAAATGAAGGTGAGTCTTGGAATTACTATTATAATCAAATGAGTATTTTCTAAACAAGTTTAATAATATGGGAAGAACTTTATAGATAGGATACATTTTGGTTAATTTAGTTTCTGGTCTCATTTCGAATTCATAAATTAACAAGCAAATACCTCAACTGTCAGGGGAACCACCCAAGAAAATATCAGCAACAAACCCTCTGATAACCATTGACAAAACTTTTTAATGAATCATTATTCAAGTCTTTTTTTTATAGAGTGCTTAAATGCCTGAAATAACTAGTTTACTTCTTATCTTCATAACAACTTTGTTGTTTGCTAGTTAAAGAAAATAAATAAAAAAGGAAAACCTAATTTCCAACTTGCTCCATTTTGTGGATTTCCTTTCTTTCTTCCGCTCGAGACATAATTTATGTGCCTTTTGATGGAAAAGGAGCCAGGAGACAGCAGAAGGAGCAACCTAGTCAGTCGTCGTCGTCGTCTCAGGTCATTCTCGAACTTCCTACATTTGAAAGTTTTGAACTTTTGTAGCAACGAGTTCAAACACCTTCCAGACATTCGCTTCCATGTCGACTTCATTGTGCCGTGTTTGCAGCAGGAAGGGGGAGCGTTCCTCCTGTGTTGTCCTCCACTGGGGCTACCTTCCTGCCCTCCCTGGCTTATCCCGTGCCCAAGCCCAAGCCAAAGCCATTCCATTTCATCGCATCCCACATTCATTACAAGTTTTTTTTTTCTAAGCGGCGTACAAATCGTGACTTGTGCGCCGCCCCAACTCCGCCTCATTCAACTGCATACCCTTCCCTGGTATTCTTTACAAAATCCACTCTGTTGCTATTTATACAGTGAGAAAAATGTGTGTTAATTTTTGGGATTTTAATACCTAAAATTTCTATTTAATTTGGGTTGTAAAAAGGGTTCTAGAAAGCCAGGATTTTGTTGGTTAAAAAGGTTTCGAAAGTCTTGATGTAGATGGTTATATGTTTGGAAAGTGTTGCAAAGACAAGTCTATTTCTTATAGATTAACTTTGTTTTAGATTAAGTTTGGGGTAGTCTTTGGCTTATGAATTTATTTATATATTATCTCTTTTCTTGCTCTGTGTATGCTCTGAAGGCAAATTCCAATATGGGTCAAACACAGCAGGCATATCAAATGCAGCCCCCAACGAGCTATGGAGCTAAGAGGAGGGCCCCAGCGACAACAAACGGCTCGACAACATTCCAAGCTCCTGCCCTCCACTTCATCCTACTCCCACTCTCTGCTCCCTCCTTGAGTCTCTCGAGTGCAATGCTCACAATCTGTCGTCGCCCATCTTCATGGTCCGAGGCATCGTCGTCGTCGTCGTCGTCCAACGTTTTTGCGGATTTTGTTGGGATTCCCGCCCTCAACACGCCGCTCGAGCCGCTCTGGAGTCCAACATAGGCCTTCTTCTAGCAAACCGACTCTATGCCATACATAAAATTGTATTAATGCCAGATTAAGAATTCAATGATGCGTTGCACTCGGTTGAGCACTCGGTTGGTGTAGATCTCCAGTCTTGTGCCCGCCTCCTATCTTTGCCCATCCTCTCCAAGCTGCTGATTACAAAATTGGAATTTGCACGCCGCACTTCCGCCAGAGCAGCCTCCAAGTTTCTCAGTTCTCAATCTTGCCAGTAGAGTCTTCAGGGATGCCAGAGATATTTGTATACTCTATATCAGGGAGATGTTATAAGGGTTAGATGGAGAGCTTGGTTAAACGTAATAAATTCTATGGTTTAGTTTATTATTATTCTCTTGAAATACCTAAGATGTTTAAACTCTATCATTAGATGCTATTCTCTATCTTCATCATATATTTAAGCCCAGAAACATCTTATTTAAACCCTAAATAATTAACAAAAGTGTCTGGGTTTTCACATTAACATATAGGAAGTACTTTTTCGCTGTTTGCCAAAAAATATAAATAAATATCTTGCAGCTTTTGCAAATAATACTGGCAGAGTGCCCATTGGGTAATTCTGTTGTGCAAATATTAATTATTTCACAGATGATAAACATAATTACCTGAATCTCTTAACTCTATAGTATTAAATACACTTGAAATTTTTTTAAGGGAAAGTGTATTTCTAGATTCGTTCTTTAAGTCCTCATTCCTTATGTGTTGTCTTTGGAAATAAGTACTCTTCGATTGCAGCTTCTGCTGCTGCTGATGATTGCTTATCTGCAGATGCGGACTCTGAGGGTAGACTGGAGATGAAGCTGAGTCTCTTTTTAATTCATAAATGGCAGTGTTGTGTCCATGAAGCTGGGGGCGTGGCCCACCTTGATTTATTGATTCCATTGCTATTGATGGACGGCCAGAGGAGGCGAATATGGTAAAGTGCAGGCCATTGCAATTGCAAGGGAATTAAGTGGATTGGATTATGTGCTCATGTTTTGGGGTAGGTTGGGTCTGCCTTTTGCTTGGAAGTTGCAGAGCTAAAGGTATGAGTTTTTCCTCTGTTTCATTTATCTATTTCTGGGTCTATACCATTTTTTAAGGCATTTTCTTGCTGAATTGCTGACACACAGCACCCGACATATGCTTAGCGCCAGTTATATGCAAATTGATGCATGGCACACACAGTCATAAGGCTTTTGCGTCTTATAAACATTAATAGGGTAAGGTACAGTAGAGGCACAATAAAAAGAAGCTAAGAAAAAGGAACTTTAAAGAAATATCTTCTTACTAAATATATATTTTTTAAAGCTCTTTCTTCCTGCAAAATTCTTCTATAATTTCAAGAACTTACCTTTCCGTTTTAGTTCTTTTTTCACTGTACTTGCCATATAGCTATACCCTTAAAGACATGTCAGAATCGAGACATACGACTGAGTATGAATGAGGCATATATAGCCTCATTGGGGGTACAAAATACAAGAAATAAAGAGGGGCCACGAAGGCATCGAGTCAAAAACGAAGGCCTAGGCTTCGGTGTGCCACGGCATGGCATGCCACATTTTGAATGGCTTGTGCCTCTGCCTGTCACATATGAGAGTTTATAAATAACACAAAAAAATAATACTACTCAAGCACTACGACTACGACGCCATACTAGAGTGGGGATAATTTCAGGTGGGGGTGAAAAATAGGCACTAAGAAAAATCTAGGGAATAAAATAATAATCAAGCGAACAATTACTAATAATAATTAGATTTAAAGCAAATAAGGAAAGCTTTAAACAATTAATAATAATAAATAGATTGAAATAGAATAAGGAAAGCTTTAAAATCTCTTACAAGTGCCTCCAAAAGTATGCAATGTAAATAGTAAAGGATTTAGATTAGATTTTAGATATGAAGAAGATACCCAATGAAAAACTAAATAGAAAACATGAACTTTAACAGACAAGATTTCCTTAAATATTTAAATACGAGTTTTCAAATTTCCATAATTAAAATTTCCTATCTCTATAAAAATAACAGAATAACATAAATCAAATTACCCTCTTTTTTTCTCAGTGCACACATTATGTATCCGTGATTGTCTATAAATTATGCCTGCCAAAAAGTAGCTTTGTGTGCTCCACTTTATATATCATCACAATGAAACATTGATGGGGGGCACAACAAATATGTCGTCTTCGCATTTTGGGTTAATCCCAAACGGAAGATATCATTTATCACAAATTAAAACCAATTCAAATATTGACAATTTGTTTGTGAAAAGAAAATGCGAGGGGAGTAAGAGGAATGGGTAGGTTTTTGTGGAAAAATGGGCGCCTACGCAAAACAAAACACAAACAAAAACACACACAAGTATACAGAGGAAAAGCCGGCAACACGGGAGAAATGAAAAACAAATGCATTCTCTGGCTCTCTCCTTGTTTTCTCTTCAGAATACATTCTCTTTGCAGAATTCTCTGCAAGATTCTCCCTAAATTTTCCCCTTTCTTTGCAGAAAAGCTTTTCCCTGAAAATGTTTCTAGCCAATGCACAAACCCTGGCCAGCAAGAGCTTCAGCTACTCAAAGCCAGGTGGCGCCAGTGAGGCACTTTCTCAAAACATATTTTCCCATCGAGATGATTTTCTTTGCTTTTCCCCCCCTCAGAGTTCATTGATCCTTGGTTTTAATGAAAGAGACGCGTGGGTTTTTGACAGCCACTTGCCGACAATTTTCCTTCACTTCTTTTTCCGCATTTCCCCTGCATAGTTTGACCACCCAACAACATCGCCGTTGTCGTCTTCTTACTTTTCTTTTTTCTTCATTTATACGTCTTCTTTTCACGCCAAAACTGATGACGTCCATTGCGAAAATGAGTTGAATAATGCTGCCATCAAAATATATATAAATCTGAAAATCTCCAAGGTGACACATTTAGTCAGTGAGGAAATTCTGTAGAAATCGTTCATAGTTTACCTTAAAAAAAAAAAAAATCACAATGCAAACGTAAAATTGATTTGCAGCCGTTGTTCGTTCGGGTTGAACTTTTGCGCCATAAAAATTTTGTTTTTATAGATGATTATTTGGGGAAAAATTACACTAGACTACAGAAGAGAAGCTTTGAAATATTAAATAATGAACACACAGGGTAAAAAGCATTATAAACATTTATTGAAAGGAGTTTAAAAGATGCTTGCAGATCTCATTGGAAATCTTCATTAAATCAATATTTATCAAGATTTTTATTTGACAATTTTTTCAACAAACTCACAATTTTAAAATCTCATAACTAGGTCAAAAAAGCATTAATTTTTATTTGGAAAGCTGAACTATGCTAGTTGTTATTAGGTCAATAAATTTGCATACTCAATATAAAATTAAAAAAAAAAAATTAAATTTTGATAAATTTTTGGAAATTTAACTATGAAACCCTTATAAAATTAAAAAAAAAAAAAAAAAGAAACAATTTTTTCTTCGCGATATGTCTAGATCGATTCGGTCGGAAATTCTTTCTTCATATTGTTACAAGCTTCTGACTAAAATTATAATACCCTGCAATGGTTTAAAATCAGAAAAAATGTAAAAAATTCTTCCCAGACACTTTGAAC